GGCTCAGCATTACAATCAAGCCCTCTGCCAACTAATGTAGATATTGATGCCAGGTTCTGGGTCTAGCTGGCCAAGAATTGAAACAAAAGCTAATCATCACTCCCCAACGTGATATTTGAGGTAGGGCCACTGGGCACATCTGGAACAGGGAAGGTGGGAGCAGAAGGAAGAGAGAAAGGGGTCCCTCCTCAGGGAATTTACCTTTGTCTGAACTCAGGTGCAAAGAATTGAATTCATCGTAATCTGTGAGTTGTAACACACTCAACACTGGTCCATGCAGGCTTGGGTTTTCTTTTAAATTTAATCAACTATTAGATCTTTACTAATTGACAGATACCATCCTCCCACCCACCCCAAGAAAGGGCACGTATGGACACTCACTTTTCCCTCATCATCTGGTTTCTCCTGCCAACCTCTCCCCTTCAAGCACCAAGCCCCACCCCCAATCTTGTGTCTATCAGAACCTTGCTTTTCCTTTCAAATAGCCTCCTTCCAGCTATTTTAATATTTCTACAAGGTTTTTTCTTTAAGTTGTTATTTTACGTGTATGAAAGATGTCATGTTGCAGCTTTGGGCGTCTTTTATTTAATATCATATTACCAAGATTTGTTTTGACTGAGCAGACCTCTCCACAGTGAGACTACAGCAAGGTTTATTCATCCGACTGATGGGTATTTGGGCCCTTTCCAGGCTTATGTTATTACAAACATAGCTGCCTCTATCTCCCCCGGGACAAGAGCTTTCTTAGGCAGAGACACCTCCTTTTATTTGTCATCTGTCTAGCTCACCCTCCTATTTATTACCTACACTTGTGTCCTGGGTCATCAGAAATGTGAATGTTCAACTTTAAGAGAGAGCAAGAGAATGACGACGTGTTTTCCATTTGATTGCATGTTCTAGAGTTTCTGAGATGATTGCTTCCTCTTCCTGTTCTCTTCAATTTTGTTTCTTTAATCTCACATGTCAGCTCTATCAAAATGTTTAAATCAAGTTTTTGGCCAAACACCTGAGTGACATCTCTGATAAATTCTCCCACATGGAAAGGAGAGCTCTTCTCAGCACACAGATATGATCTCTCAGCACGGCTGAGACCCGGAGCCCAGACACTGAGGCAGCCTGGTCACGCAGAAGGGACCTGGCTAGAAGTTGCTGCACATCTTGACAAATGCAAGATTTTAAAAAGGGGTTCGGGTGACGCTAACCCTGTTCCCCACCCCAGTGTGCTTGCTCAGTCTCACCTCTCCCAAGCCTCCCTTAAACCAAGAACAAAAATCTGAACATGAGGAGAAATCATTTGTGAGTAACTAATTTCAGTTTTAAACAAGAGGAATGGGTAGAGCTGGGACATCACTACACAGACAAATTAATTTCAATAAATATTTACAGAAGGCTTCACAGTGTGACCAGCACACTGACAAGTCGGATCTCTCCTCTGCCCTCAGGGGCCTGAGTTTGCTATTTAACAAGACCAGGCTGAGCCTGGCGTACAGAGGTGGCGACTGAGCGCTGAGTAGCTGGCAGATGCCCGGCTGATCTCAAGGTGCTGGCTGCAGAGAGATGAGCAAAAGTTAGAACACACGTGAACCAGACGCAGAGGGTTCAAAGGCGAGCGCAGTCAGCTCCAGCCAAGAGTATTCTGCAGCAAAGTCCCTCCAGGGCGCTGCTGGAGCTGGGCTTGGAAGACCACATTAAGCGAGCGAGAGGAGAGAGAACAAACACAAACTATACCTCAAACAATTTTAAGGAATCAAATTCCTTATGCACACTTGACATGCTTAAATCTCCTGTTTCTCAAACTTCTTATAGATCTATTTCCTGCCTCCAGGTACGCTAAAGGACCAAGAAGGGAAACCCATGGGTCCCCCCCATTAAACATCTATTACCCATATTTATTTGTTCTCTCCACAAACACCAGCCAAGTCCATCCCCACCAGGTGTCGGACCCTGTGCTGGGCTCCAGTGATACACCAGTTGACCGGAGGACGCAGGTCCCGCCCTCACCCAGCTCCAATCTGCCAAGATAAATAGGGCCAGACAAAGACAGTAAGTGGGACCGACCTGACCATCAGTTAGACCCAGTCCTCCAAAGGACCTCCTCCCCCAGTCCATCCTCCCGGGAAACATTTTCAGTAAATTGTGCAGGATGAAAGAAATGGTTGCCTCTGCAGTACTACAAGAATCCAAGCCAGTCCCCCAGGTAGCCCGCAGTGGCTCGGCCCTGCAAGCCCAAAAAATCAGGTGCTTCCTACATAATAGGCTCCAATCTGATACTTGATAGCTGCTGGTTTGCAGAGTCAAACAAATGTCAGGAATTTTATGAAGGCAGGAAGCAAATAAGGGGCAAGGATTGGGGTCTAGGCCTCGAGGGAGCTCAATTAGTGAGCCAGATAAAGTTAAACCGAAAAAGCATGCTCTCGGTTTCCTAGAAAGCCAGCTGGAAAAGATGCCAATCCTTAAGCCTCTGTCACTCAAAAGATTAACAGGAGACCCAGGGGTGCCCAAGGGAATACTGCAAACAAGCCAGATGTTTCTGCTCCCCCTGACGCTGCCACTCGCAACCAGAGCCACACAGATGAGGCCACCGAGAAGCCACAGAGAGAGCAGCATCTTTAGGGGTCGGTGAAAACTCAAAGACACCACCTTTTAGCAGTAGAAACAGCAAAAAATAATGTTTATAACTTTCTTACAGACTTGCCTGATACATCTGACTTGAGTGTTTTCTCATTTTGTCAGCTCTGCCTTTCACAGGAACAGAATTACCACGCGCGCACTCACACACACACACACACTCACACACACACACACACCCGCCATAGCAGCTTGGTGGTATGGAAAGCACACAACCTGTAAATCCATATAGATGGGGATGGGGTTCCCAGCGTTATATGGGCACCATAAGTGTTTCAAGCGAGCTATTCAGCCTCCCTGACTCTCACTTGTAAAATGGCACTAAAATGACCCAGCCTCTTGTTCTTATAAACATAAGCGATCGTGGAAAGTGCCTGCCCAGTGTTCTTACGTGGCAGATGGTATTGTTGCCTACGACATGCCCAAGACAGGCGCTTCACCCTGTACTTTCTACCCACACACATGTACAAATGCATTTGTATGTGCATGCATGTGTATGTGAGAGAGATCTAGAGAACGCATCTGGGACACACACAGCCTGCTTAGACTTGCTGCTTGTGTTCCATCACTGGTATCAAGTTAATAAACTAAAGAAGGTGGAGGGAAACTGAACCAACATCCCTGGTTTCCCTGAAAGTCCTTAGCTTCCCGAAAAGTTGCTGCCTCCAATTTCAGGAGGCAGGAAAGGAAAGCCATATGGCCTGAGACACTAGACATGCCCAGCACCAAATGAGCCCCCCACCATTTGTCTCCGGGCCTCTCGTATGGGCGGGCATCCAGATTTCAGTTGGGGTGCTCTGGTCTGCATCTCTGTCTTGACTGTTTCTAATTATTGGAGGGAACACTGTGGCTCTCCTGACCCCAGAGTTTAAGAGCTGCGAGTCCTAATATCAAACCAAGCAGCTTCATTTAAAAAGCGTCCTCATCTGCATCCATAAAAGTCACTCCCAGAGCCCTTCCTTGCCCCAGCTTTGGGAATGCCTGCTGTCGAGGATTTATGGCACGCCCTGGATCTAATCTGCCGCACTTTAACTGCTGCTGTTGCACATCTGGTCATAAAAGCAAGGGCTGGCCCAACATGGGGACAAACACTTTTCTTTCCTAAGTGGTTGCAAATCTGATCTCACAGTGATAGCTGGGCTCAGATGTAATCAGCCAGCATCTGGGCCGTCATTAAGGCTCATCAAACTTTGCAAGGCTTTTCCTCCACACACGACAGCTATAAAGACCATTCTCATACAGCATGAGCTATGAATAAAGAACCTGCAGTTTGAACAGGTGGCAAGGGGGCTAGGCCCAGGGATGCCGGGAGGAAGCACAAGATTTGCTCCTTAACCAACAAGCACAAGTTGGTCAAGGGCGCACTTTGGTTCACAAAGTTCCCAGTTCCTTCCACGTGAACTTTCTCACTGCTGCCTGAAGCGAGCAGCTATCCTGTGTGCTGCCCTGATTTCAGCCACTTTTTTGGCCAGCAATTGTCTGAACTAAGTTTTGTCAGATGAACATTCGATGGCTTGGTGTACTTTTTATTTATTTATTTACTTATTTTTTACAGCCAGAGAACCCTTTCTTAGACCTATGGAGGGGGAGGGGGGCGTGCAATAATCTAGACCAGAAATGAGCACAATGCTTTGGTTCCAGAGAGCTGACAATGCCTGGACGCTCTGCCCTCTGCCCAGGATTGGCAGGCGGCATATCTTTTAGAAACTCCAATCAGACCAAGGTTCAACAAGTAGTTCACCCTCCAGCCCCAGCCCAGAGCAGGAGACCCTTGCACACCTAGCTGACCCTCTCCACCACCTCTCCACAGCCCTCACCCCCAACCCCCTCAGAGACTGTGCTCAGCAGGAGGGAACATTAAAATTATCTGCTGTAGGTTTTACGAGCAGCGATCGCTTTTTAAAACAACGACACAAGGTCCCCTGTGTGGCTCTCGGGTAACCTAAAACTCTGGAGGCAGCACTGACCCAGCGGCCTGCCAAGGACGCCGGCCGGCACCGGCGACTGGGGCGAGACCCAGCGCAGCGAGACCACAGGGCAGCCCTACTTGAGCTGAGAGCTTCGGGCGCTGTAGATACCTCTACGGGTCTTGGTGCAAAATACCCTGGGGAGAGAGATGAGGAGATAAAGCCCACCAGTGACAGCTGGGGAGGGGGTCTGGGGGGAATCGATGTCGCAAGAAAAGATGGGGTGGGGGGGCAACAAGGGAAGAAATTTTATGACACCAACTCCGCCAAGCCCACAGGGACAGTGGTGGGTGGGAGGGAAACAGGTCTGACACCCCCCCTTCCCCCTCCGTCCGCCCGGGAGGAATAAGAGCCGGCGACCTCCGTCTCGTCCGCAGGTGGGCGCGCGGCTGAGGGCGCACTTACCCTGGGGCCGGTGGTGCGGTGGCCGCCAGCGGGGGACAGTTGCACCAACACCAGCAGCAAGTGGGGCGTGAGCAGGCGGGCGCAGCGCGCGGGCAGCATGGTGCCAACAGGGTCGACAGGCGGCTGCGGGCAGGGGTCGCGGGCTCGGCGGGACGC